CCCGCCTCCCGCGCGCCGCCCCAGCCCGTTTCCTCCGCGAGCCGCCCTGCGGCGGCGTCTCCTGGGCCGAGCGCGGGGCGTTTCATCAGCCGCACTCCCCTAGGGCACCGGAAGGGTTCCCGCGCCCGCCACGTGCATGGGATCTGGGCTCGTCCCCGCAGTGAAGGAGCGGCGGGGCTGGGAGGCCGGTCCCGAGTGACTGAGAGTCATGGGATCCGGTGCATGAGGCACACTCGGGACCAGAAGTTTCTAACGAAAAATGGTGTACAGTACAGAGAGCGTCCGTGTGGGGAGCAAATGGCCTGACGGCAGGTCCAAAGTCTCCACTCAACCATCTGGTAAATTAAACTTTGTGTTGCGTTTTCTTTAAAAATATTTAGTTACGGCTGTGTTATGAAATTGTGTTGTTTTAACAAAATGTGTGAGGTGTTCAAACCCACACTTGCTCACCCTACTTTTTGAGATTTATGAGGGTCTATGATGATCTTCTTTTCCCAAGTGAATCACTAGTCTTGGATTCACCTTGGTTGGTTATGGTGATATTTTATTTGTACTGAAATATGATTTTATTTGTATGTTAATAAATAAAGTTGCCTGGGGATCAGAGCTAAAAGCAAGCTATTTAGCAGAAGTCCAGTGGTGGTAGCACATGCCCTTAATCCAATCACATGGCAGGCAGAATCTCTGTGTGTTCAAGGACACAGCCAAGTGGTGACCCGAACCTTTAATCTCGGTACCAACCATAGAGACCTGGAGGTCTGCATAGACAGGCAGTGACAGGAAATCATGTGGTTGGGTTTAGAGCCAACGAGAAGGTAGAACAGAAAGGCAATGAAAAGACAGGTCACACAGGAGAATCTCTCTCTGAGGGGAAGGAAAGCAGCGACTGGTAAGCTAATGGCTTCGCTAGTGCTCTGATCTCTTGGGCTTTTAACTCTGTATTTGGCTTTTTGTTTGTTTTTTAATAAAACTGTTTAGAATTTCATCTACAGTTGGTTGGTTGGTTGGTTGGTTGGTCTGACAATATGGGTCAAACCTGGCTAACCACATGTATTTTTTCTTTGCAGTACACGTTTATATAAAAGGAACAGATTCTGTTCTATTGGTCACCTTTCGTTGTCTTTCAACCCTGAGTACTTAGCTCCTGCACCAATGGCCTCATTTCTTTTTAAGAGGATCACAGAGGTCTGTGTTTTGTAAATATGGGCCTCTCCTTGCCTAGTTCTGCCCCTATGCTGGATACATATGGTTCCTACCCTTGCTTGCAGGAAGGGCTAGGACACAAACACACCCACCACTGCCCTTGTTTCTACAAGTGATCTTGCACAGACACACGCAAGCACATTTTTTTTTTCACATTTCTTTTTTCAATAGTGACTGTCAAACTCTTGAGGCCTTTCAGACTTAAATGGCTGCACACCCAAAGGCAGGATGTTTAGAGGCATCAAGAATGAACTGAAAATCCAAATAACATATCCCATGTGGGTGCCCACAGGGACAAGTCAGTCAGATCAAGGTGACAAGCTACTAAAACTGAAGCTATTTGTGCACAAATCAGCGCTGAAGTACCTGCTCAGTGCCAGCACTGTAGAGGACGGTTTGTGGAAGGTTCCTGTGTAGTATAATCAATTTGCTAATAGTAATTTAGAGGCCCAGGAAAAAGAAACCCAAGGGTGCTGAGACCTCTAAATGCTGACAGACTGTTATTGAAAGGGAAGGTGCAACAGCTGTGGCCCGGCCTAGGTCTCTAACCCTGCCTCTGGAGCAAGGCCCACCACCCACCTCCATGACAACAGAGCCGGCCCTTCTGCCCTGTCCACCAGCCTCCACTCTCCAAGCTCCAGCACCAAGTTTTATGTTGACACATCAGCCTCCCACAGGTAACAAACAGGGGACTTGGGAAGCCACAAACGGGCTGCACTGGTGCACTATGTAGCAGACTGAGCTCTGTTCACTCATTTATCAAGAGACACCTGCTGATGTGGAAGACATCAGGAACCAAACATGAGTGCTTAGAAAGTTGTGACAACACGGTGCACCCCTGCAGCAACGTAAGAGTCTGCTTACCTGAAACCCTGGGGGCTCCTCATACAAGGGGCAAAGCACCATAACATCCAGTAAAGCAGACTGCAGAGCTGACTGTAGCAATGACAGCTTGATGGAGTCTGGGGGCCTTGGTGGTGACTTCAGTCTGCACCACCTGCAGCCTCCTCTGGATGAATCACTGCCCTCTCCCCAAACCCCAGGCTCCATAAATAGAGCCATTCTCAGTTCCTCCTGCACCCCATTCTTTCACTTCAGGTCTTAGTGCCTGCCTCAGGTCTTCCCTCTTCATCTGGAAGGTTAGTGCTAACCCCATCATCACCTGGCTGCTCCATTCTTGGGTCTTCCCTCTTCATCTGGAAGGTTAGTGCCAAACGCATCCTCACCTGACAACCCATTCTTGGGTCTTGGTTGGCTGGGCCCTTATTCTGAAAGCCCTATCCTGTCCTAGGCCAAGGTCTGTCCCCTTCTTGATGGTTCCTGTTTAACCTACAATTACACCTGTCACCCAGTATGGCCACTGCCTTATTCTTTCCCCCAGAGCACAAACCTTTAAGTCCTAGGGCCATTCCTGCCTGTGCTCATAGCTGCCCAGGGCCCAGCCCACAGCATTTTGTTAAATACATCTGAAGCAGCAATTGGACAGATGAAGCCTCAACTACAGGTAAATTAACCAACCACAAATTCCAGGCAAGGCCACCCTTACTCAGCAGCTGCTCCATACTGCTGTTTGCAAAGGTCCAGCAGCCAATGCATTTGACATGGATGAAGAAAAAGAGTGAACTTCTCCCGGAATGGCAGAACCTGGAGATGCAGCAGCAGAGGGGATTGGAGGGAGTCTCAGAAGCACTGGGAGAGCACATGAAAAGCAAAAGATAAAAAAACTACATCTCGGTTTTTGGAACTGGCCTGCCGATTACATTCACCGACTTTCTAGCTGCTGTTAGAAATGCTGCTTGAGACACTGCCATGGGCGGAACAAACTGAGCAGATCACACAGCAGCTCAGACTAGAAGTCTAAGAGTCACAGGTTCAAATGCAGCCTTTGCCACTAATTATGTTTCCTTGAATAACTAAGCCTGTCTCATTTACAGACTACTACTGCAGACATGGAGACCAACAGTATGTACACCAGCACCCTGAATTATATTAATCCTGATCTATGTGAACTACTCAAACAGTTATTTACAAAAGTGTTCTTCTAGATGCCACTGCTAGTGGCTCCATACCTATTTCACCTCTTGGGAGCGGCATGACCTGCTGATGAACTCCGCTGTGAGACAGGATATGGGATGACAGCAGGTGGAGTGCAGAACTACACAGCTGCTGTCCTTGTCAAGTGTGCTGGGAGGCGAACAACACTAGTTGTGGGGGAAGTGGGTCAAAACCAGAAGAATAACTGCCGAGTTCCTCTCAAGAGAGGCTACAACCGCCCCAGGGCACAAGAGCTGCAGAATGCTAAGTGCCGGTGACAGGTCCTAGGGACAAATGGAGTGGAGCCACAAGAGAACTCCTATGTGGCTGAGCAGAGGGTTCAACTAGTATGTGTGACTCTTCATCCTGAAAAACCACCCAAGATGAGAAGCAGCCCCTCTGTGGGCAATCGGGCCAGCTTCTCTGCTGCTGTTATCGCAGGTGCTGCCATCTGGTCTAGAATGTTTCCCTCTTATTTCCAAATAGAAAAGGGGGGAGATGGGTGGCCCCCACCAGTCACTCCAACACAATGAGCATGTCGCTAAGTTCATACTGGATGCAGGAGCTAGTCAGCACCACTTGACGTTAAGAGCCAGAGAAGTAAATGTTGGTACAATGATCTGACCAGCATCTTCTCCCCAAATCACCAGCCCAGTCTTTCCATCAAGACTGTGTCCAGGCTGCCTGTCTGCACAGGAAGAAGACAGAGAGCAAGCTAGAACTGCCTGGTGGTGGTACCCAAGCTTTTGCAGTAACTCCAGAGCCACTGAAGTGATGGGAGATGAACTGACAGGGGAAAAAAAAAATTCTTGGCATCTGCCACGTTGCTCCTAAAGGAGAGGGGGGAAATGCTGTGAAAAATGAGAGGCATGCAGAACTCATCAAAGCTCCAACCTTTGGAAGGACAGCTTTGGTTGACTTCTGGTACCATTAATCATCTTGAGTAGAGACAGGCTGAATGTGCTGAGAACTACAGACTGTTTGTTGTAGGCTTCGCTTCCCTGGCCTGGGGGCAGGTGAGTGGAGACAACAGTACACAAAACAAGCCTGACATGGAGCTTGGCAGTCTGACTTGCAGTACACAGTGCTGCTCTGAACTGACTCTGTCCCTTCCTTGTTCCGTGACCTCTGCCATCCTGCAAGCCTCGCGGAGGTAGAA